CGAAGAGTGTTATGATTTTCAAGAAGCGAATAAGAGCACTGCTTTTCGAGCGACATTGAACATACTATATGACATACTACATGAATACTTGGCGCTATACAAGTTTTGTGATTGTGTGATTGATTGATTGATCAACATTTTTATATTTTTGTGTTAAAAACAGTGCCAGAAATTCCCCAAAATTCCCGAAAATGTGTTCAAAATCACCTCAGCTTCACCCTGTTTGAAAGACAAAACCAGATCCCTGTGCCCCTCCCTAAATCCCCCCTGGCTATCAAATGCCAGATGTCAACCAAACACCTGAGTACATCTAATGAAACATTTGAGTATCTTTTTTTTTATGAAACTCATGCTATTGTATTTTTGTTAAGTTACGTTGTTTGCCTTGGAACGACCGCATACTACAATATTTGTATAGCTCACTAGTGTTTTGGAAGGGCTCCTTATAAATAATTATTTTCATAATAATAATAATAATAATAATAATAATAATATAATAGTTCATTCTTATATAGCGCATATAAGCAAGATGTCAATGCGCTGTACATAAATTAAATAAAACAGAACATGGATATAATGTTAACAAAACAGAGCAACTAAGACAACCTAATATATTATTTAGTTTGCAATAACAAAGAGGATATTATCTCTATGGTAATGATAAGCACACAAGGGAATACCACGAAGAACAGTACAATAGCCTCTGCCCCGGGGGCAGGTGACTCACCTCAATCCATCGCCTTGCTTCAACTAATGCCTTTTGTAAGTGTGTATAGCGTTCTCGGATCTCCAACAAACGTATATTCCTCAGCACAGGGTCCATTGCTAGCAAAACAGATTACCAAAAATAAAATGTTAATGTATATGTGGTTATTACTGGAGCATTATGTACAACAGGTAAAATAGTGGTGTAATTCCTTCCGTACAATCCAGGTGGTTAACAAACTATGCTGAATATTGGATTACGGAACATACCAGATCAAATATTTCCAAAGCATGGAGTTTCCAGATCAATAACCAAAATTAAGTCCGTTCAGGAAGTAATTCTGAGAAGCTAGTGCTTAGAGGTTTGCATGTGAAATCGTTGAACCATAACACTGAATTTTTTTTTAGGCAAGGTTTTATTAACTTCAGCATGATTAGTGTGTTATTAAGGGACTACAAAGGGAACTTGGCTTTAAACCTGGCACTCTCTGACGTTAGCTTTGTTCTCTCAGCACGATTGGCTAAACTTCCAGTATTCTCACAAATATTGGATTAGAGATGTCATTGTTGAAGTTTGTCAGTGAGTTTATACAATCAACAAACATATTTGCTTGAATGGTACAAGACTCGGTTGGTTATTCACACTAAATTTGAATCATGCACTAATTAACAGTACATTACTGCATTTATGTGTAATTATTATAACTACCACTTCTACGACACTCATAACTTTTCTGATATTTGTTTACGCTTTCTACAATTCTCCCTTGATTTAAAGACTCCTCTGGCCTCGGATGAAAATCAATCTTATCTTTATTAATGATAATTTTTCAAATTGAAGACCAAAACTGCTAAAGACCATGAAAACCTTGGTCCCTAAATTTGCTATAATTGGAGGGAGAATTGTATTTTTTAAATTTTTACAAATTGTCTGAATTAAAAGTTAAAAAAAAAAAAAAAATATTTAATGACAAAATACTAATATATAAATGTATTTTTTCTGACAAAAGGAAGTATGTGCAGTTGCTTCTCTTTGTCAGAAAAAACTATTGTTTGCAGCCTACTTCGATAATTTGATATCACAAACTTTTTAAGGTGCTCGCTTACGGGATGTAAATCATAAGAAAAATCCAAAAGTCAAAAAGTGGTCACAGTCGCTTATGGGAGGTGGTGCTTACAAGCGGTATTAAATGCACTGATTAAATAACAAATGGGAAAATATGAGAGTAAACGTAAGGGAGGTGATCACTTATGGAGGTGGTCGCAGTATACCATATTATACCAGGAAAGAGTTAATTTACCCTCTTCCCTGATTAAGACGAATAATACTCAAATAAATTATAGTACAATGTTTTCATTTGCTAACTCAACTAAATGTTTTTTATTTTGAATTCTTACTTTACGCATGTACAACATTCAAGATTTATAGATGATACGGCATGTGCGCCAGGCCCAAGGCAGGGGTCACACAGTTACTTAGTGAATCATAATATAAGGAGCTGTGGTGTAACGCTGGGGCCAGGGGTCCTGTGGCTTTCTGAGACTGGGGGCCCTTTTTGGGTTCAGTTACCAATTCCATTGTGGGATCTTAGATGTGCTTGTTTTTTTTAATTATGCTTGTCATTGTATTCAACATGTCTTAAACGACAAAATAAATGATAGGGCGAAAGTGGTGGATCCAGGAACTTGGAATAGAGAGGGCCCAGGAAGGGACTTTCCCAGATTGCAGGGACTTAGCAGGGGAGGAGTTGGGAGGAGGGACCTTTTGGAAAGTAAAAAAAAAAAATTTAAAAAAGAAAACGAAAGAAAGAAGAAAAAAAAAAAAAAGGATTGTACAAAATGCCTCAGAGGTTATTTTCGGGCGTCTAGAAAACAAAACTTTCACGGGGGCATGCCCCAGACCCCCTAGGATGGTGTTATCTCAATCGGCACCACTTTCAGAAATCTCTGGATGAGGAAACAGTCCAGCTGACACCTGGACATAACATAACATACATTCCTGGAAAACATACATTCCTTCAGCCAATGGGCCGTTGGACCAAGGACCCTTCGGATCAAAGGTAAGCACCCGACTATGATGTCCGACATGTTCGACTAGAGCCTTAATCAGGGTCCAAGATTAAAAGTTCTAGGTCCATAGGGAGAGTTTTTATTGCTTCGTATGACCCAAAATAGTGCTTTTAGATCGCATAACATTAGGAACGTCTGGCAATCAAAATAACATTTTAGATAAGCAAATTCATATTTTTCGTCGGACGGCGAGAGTCAATGGAAGCCTGTCCGACGGTGGGGGACCCAAATGCCTTACCCTCCACCGCTGGCACCACCACTGGCTGACTCCAGAAAACCTGCTCCCAGCAAACACAAAAGCCTGGTTCTCACGAGAGCCCTAGTATCCGGATCGGGAGCTAACCGTTAGCGCTAACTGTAAGCACCAGTGTGAGAACGCCTGATCGGTTAGCACTAACCATTAGCAGTATCCGGATACCGCTAACCACAAGCGCTATCGGTTAGCACGTTGAGCGCGTTTCTATCATCAACCAATCACAAGTACGCGTTTACAATTTCCAGTTTCTTATATTGGCCAGTTATGATCATCATATTCTTGGTATCGGGATCGGGGTCTTCTTGTATGGACGTACGGCAGCTAATGGTTAACAGGATCCAGAACCTGCCACTAACCGTTAGCTGCCGTGTGAGAACATAGCCAAAACGTTCGCGTTTGGTATTCAAATAACGTTCACACAATGGCATTGTACATACACATGGTTCTACAAAATAACGTTTTCAAACACCAAACTGTAACGTTATTATAACGTAATATTGTTAGCTGGGCTACTCCAAAATAACAACATCAATATCAAAGAAAATGTACTTAATAATGTCAACAGCTTCACCAACCTCGGTAGCATAGTAACATCTGATAATATCCAAGAGCTTCGAGTTCAAAAGTCGCATGATGTCTAACACCGAGATTACGAAAAAATACAATATTCCGATCAAAATGAAGTGCAAGGCAACCATAGTTGTATGCAGGTGAATGCCAGACACTTAGAGATCGCAATGGAAGTCCTCCAAGAAATTATGAATAGCAAGTGACTAACAGGGAATTTCTACGGACAGCAGGCCTCTAATGGATTCATGACCTTTTCATCCAGAGAAACAATGAGCTGGACATGCTGCAAATCTCGAAAATACTATTCCTAAACAAATCCTATTCGCACAGCTAACAGACGGCTTTAGAAGCAAACCTAAACTTCTGTACAAGGATACAATAAAGAGAAATGTAAAGGACCTGCCCATACCTACGGAAGACGCTGGAATGGTATTGGTTTTTGAATTTTATGCATCTTTATATTTTTACTCAGGTGTACTTTGTAAGGTAATATATACTATTAATGTTATTCAATTTATTTAAGGTATTTATTCAATGTTTTTCTACCTTGTTAAAAATTTCAAAATGACAACCATACCTTTGACTGTAGCCATAGAAACACATTGGCTTCAAGACAAACACTTTACATCAGCACTAACTTCACTGTGGTGGCTCTCCGTGAATCCTAGTGACATCTCCTATGTAGGCGGCGTCGGCGTCGGGGTGGGGGGGAGAGGCTTAAGCCCCAACCAGATAGGTCAAGCCCCTTCGGACAGACTGGACTAAAAAAAATATAATAGGCCCACACCTAGCCAGCTCATGTCTGTCACAGTCCGAGTGTCATTTCTATCCAGAGGTTCCTTTTCTTTAAAAAAATTCATTTGGGAGGGGAAACCCTCTCAAACCATTCCCAGTCTCGGGTCTACTAGCACAAGTCCCCTTTTAGACAGCTCAGCGCCCCCTCCCCCAGAAAATATATCCTAGAGCCGCCACTGTATGTTGTACTGTAGTATTTTTTCCCACCAAGGGTAACCCACTTATTCCCGTTTTCAGTGGAGGCCTTCTGGTGGTGAACTGGGCAGGTTGCTTGACTTCGTGACTACTTTGGGACCAGCAAATTAGGGGTCACTAGGTTCGGTCTCCACTTAGTTTGGTGTTGAACAAATGAAGAATGTTACTTGGTTCTTTGAAAAAAATGGTCTTCAATTTGGAAGGGTTTACAATGTACTAACTTGACAATCTAAAGTATTATCCTTCAATGGTTTATACTCCAGGACAATGACAAATGCTATAATTAAGACATCTTGGACACAGCAAATTTCAGGAGCCCACACTTATTTTTTTCACCAACTGGCTTCTAAGCACAAAAACCACACTGGTTGCTAGTTAGTTGGCTGACAACAAAATTTAACAGACAATATTTCATTAATCTTGCTTGTTGTTTATTCAATCAAAAAACTATTCATCAAATTATTAGTCTTAAAGTAATATACTGTATTATTAACACAATGTAGAATCTACAATAAAGTCTGCTGCATCCTATTTTAGTTGATTACCCAGAGGTCGTCATTAGATAAAAGCCACTTACAGGTGTGGACCAGGGGCTAAGCCAGTGAGCCACCCAGCCATTTTTGGATGGCCAAGAATGAAATAGACGGCCACTTGGCCATGTCTTATTAAGAATTTTGGATTATAAAATCAAAAAATCATCAGGTTTTGTATTTACATTTATCGCAGGAACTCCTGTCTAACTACTACATTATATCTTACGAGTGTTGTTCATCATTTGACTATACTAATAATTCTCTCTGCCTTTATGCACTAGGTGCTGTGAACAATTCTATAAGATCATTTTTCTTAAATGGGGGGATCTACAAAATAGATATAAGAATGATTTAAGGTCTGTTTGTTTTGATATGGGGCATGGAGTCCTTTTCTTTTTAACTTTAGAGGAAGACACCACCACAAATTTTAACCACACCCTTCAACTGTTGCTTATTTTGACTATATTTTTTTCCTGGCCAAGCCCCTGATGTGGACTAAAGTTTTTTTGACATGCAATTGTATTTTGACGTGCATGGGTACACACATGATCATACACTATAAACATCATGAATTGTGGGTGATTTGTTAGGTTTCCGGAAGAACATGCCAATATTTTGAGGACACTCCATCGAGACACGTGATGCTCTAAATAAGTTCACATCTCGTCTGGTTCGTCTTCATTTTAAGTTGTAATGATCGCACATGTCCTATTCAAACTGCATTTTCTTGGAATTTTCTGAAAAAATAAGTAAAGTTTGTATCACTTAGGCACATTATTTCAATTCTTAGCTGCTAGCATAAAGCAGTCATCATCATCATTATTATTATTACTACGGTGTATAAGACGTGTATAAGACATGTTTAGGTGTACGAGATGTTTTGGCATATTACATATTTAGGTGTACAGTTAAATTTTCCCAAGTCAAATCCAAAATGGCATTGAAAAGTAGTTGTTCTTAGATAAAATTTGACTTACAGATATTAATTAATGGAAAACACAACAACTTGACATGTAAAATAAGATCAACTTTTTGTTTGAGTTAGCAAAGTCGACTTAGGCAAATTAGGCAAGACATGTTTAGGTGTGTACGAGTTGTTTAGGTGTATCCGCTGGTTTGCCTCATTCAAATAGCAACAAAGTCATTTATCGTTAAACTGGGGGAAAAAAGTAAAATCATCACCATGAACGTTAAATGTAGCAGACTGGTGGAAACCCCAGAAAATCAACTTACCTGTCTGATCCATCTCCATCCTTTCTTTCTATTATCTGAAATTTAAACCCAGTAAAATATTAAACAAAGCAAGCAAGAGGGGCTAAAACAGGATTTACGAAAAAAATTCACCAGAGTTTGCAACACAAGTCAGATTTGGTTTGGCTTGTGCATATAGCAACGAAGTCAGCATTTTTCGTTAAGATGGGGAAAAAAGTAAAATCATCATAATGTGATCTAAACTCTGGTACCTTTTGTAATGCGTCTTCATTACTACTTCTGCTTCACAACCTATAGAAGAAAATTAAAAAACTCAAAAATTTGTTTCATGCTTCACTCTATATCAAAGTTTATAGGTCATACAATCATGTGATGTACAATTCACTACCATCACAGTGCAACAAGCACTTTATTTACATTTTCAATTTTACATATACTATACATGTGGTAGAAACTGGCTCAGATTTGGTTTGGCTTATGCAATTAGCAAAAAGGTCAGCATTTTTCGATAAGCTGGGGAAAAAAGTTTCATCATCATTGCCGACTACCAAAGAAGAGGCGATACGACTGTAAGGACTGTATGTAATTAGAAATTACCTGCAATGTTAAAAAAGTTAGAGAACTACAATCTTGCAATTCCATGATACTTCTGAAGACCTCCTTTAAGATACGCAGTCTTGATCTGGATGGAATTCCATGTTACTGAAGACCTCATTCAGACCACCAAATTTCTGGATGCTTTTGGTTAACATTCCTAAGTACTACAACAAATTTTAGGACAAAAGTAAAATATTCAGAATTATGTTGACAATAAAAACATATCTGATTGTCGCAAGTCTTAAACATTGAAAGTATTGTCTTGCAGACTTGTGTGCAAGAGCATGTCTTGAGAATTTCAATAATATTTTTATGTTGTCAGCTCGGACATCCAAGGAAGGTTGAGTGCCATCACTAGAGACAAGCTCTTATGGTAGAAACTGCGGATTGGAGGTCAATTTATCATCATTGCTGACAAAGAAATAATCTAAAATATCTGTATTTTTAAATTTAGAGTCAAAAGAAGTACATACCTTTTGCAGTATCATCAGCTCATTATTCCTTCAGCTATACAACCTAATGAAGAAATATAAAAATTGAAAATTTCTTTTGAATAATCTTGGCTTAATGTTTACAAGTTCATATAGTCGTATAATTCATTAATACAGCAAAATAAATAAAAGTAATCAAATAGTACTTCAGTCAGCTCGGACATCCAAGGAAGGTTATATGCCATCATCAGAGACAAGCTCTTATGGTAGAAACTGCGGATTGGAGGTCAGATTATCATCATTGCCGACAAAAAGAAACAATCAATTTAATTTGTAGTATTATAATCAATACATTGACTCACCTAACCGTCCCTATAAAGTTTACTACAATCGTTTCCATATCACAGAAAATCAATCTGAAAATTCCGGTAAATAAAATTTATTACTCATTCTCATTTTTGAACTACACATTATTATTTTTGAAGTCGAATAATTTTTAAATCAATCTTATTCTATATGTCAAATTGTTGTGTCTTCCATTACAAATCTGCAAATCAAATTTTATCCAAGTCAAACAGATTTTCAATGCAATTCTAGATTTGACCTAGGCAAGTTTAACTGTATATATTAAAAAACCAACAGATCTACAACATTTTGAATCAGCTTGTATAATGAACTGCGAACTGGTTGTATTATACTTAAACCACGCATACACTGCACATCGCAATGCATTATGCGAGTCGGAAAATTTATAATGGCCATCTATACAAGACTGTCACCGGCATTCGCCAGCCAGCATCACTTCAACCATGGTTTACACTGAACAGGATTCAACTTGCCAGTGCAGTATGCATCTGACCTAAGATATGCGATCAACTGTTACTTAAGTAATGAACAAAAAGCCTCAGTTCTCCAAGGTTATTCAAGTACTCAGCACTGCAACATCAAGCTGCTCTGGTACCCAATTTAGATTTCATCATATCAGGCTTTCAATTGATCATGTTTATTTTAAAAAGTCTCCCTCGAATTAAAAACCCTGCAATTTATAGACCACCATTAATTAAGGAACTTCTAAACAATTTACAGGAAATGGCTACACTTTAAATAATAATGCACAAAATCTCTCGTATTACTTACTTCTGACTCCATTCAAACGACGTATTACAATTAGTGTTCTTGATCCTGCGAGGCAGCCTAAAATAATTTAAAAAAAATTGTATTTGTTATTATTTAATTTTCCTTATATTGATTCACAACAGATCCTTCCAGAGTGTTAAATTTAACTGGTCAATCAGAACAGGGTTAGGAATACGCACGTTCCCTACACATGTATGTGTTGTTCCACAAATGCATGTTTGCGTAGTTTTTACACTGCAGCTTAGTTTCGCCTTAGCAACAATATCCAAGGGGCGGGGCTTAGCAAAAACATCATCCTCCACTCGCACACTTTTTCTTTATGTGCATAATCATATTTTTTACAAATTAAACTTAATTTTAAATAGGAAACAATATTCTAAATGAACCAGCATTATTTGCAATGAACAGAATATGAAAGCCTCAGTTCTCCAAGGTTGAAAGTACTCATCAATGCAAGCATACTTGCTATGGTACCCAATTTAGGATCTCATCATGAAATTTCACATTCCGAATCTCCATTGCAACACTTACAATTAGTTTATTTTACGTAAAATTTTTATATCAAATTTCTTTTATGAATAATCGCATTTTACACCAGTGGCGGCGGAGCTTGCACTCTCAGTCATGGATCCCATGAATATGCCTGAAGCGAAAAACCATGCTCAAGTAGGCGCCAAAAAACTTGTTTTGCGACCTAGGACATCACTCGCTAATTATTCATCCCCCACTCAACTTTTTCTCCCTCCACCACCAATCAGCCCCCTTCCAACTTTTCTTACCTTTTAATTAAACTACATGTCTTGGAGCATCGGAAACTGTTACAGTACCTGTCAACACAATGGATACAAATATGAATGAAATTCTTATAAATAAAAAACTTTGTGTGTTAACAACAACTTTCCTTTGCATGTGGGTGGGGTGGGGTGTGTATGTGGGGTGGGGATGTGTGCATGCAGAAAAGCATTATACAGTACCGTTCATAAATGCTGCACGTTTTAGACGCATCTGACGCATCCTGAATTCGTCCACGATGCGTCCTGAATACGTCCGAAATCTGGACGCGTCTAACGCTAATAACGGTTCAGACAAACTGTTTATTTGACGTAGGCTTGTCAAATTAACAATTAATTAACAAGTCATCGTCAACGCAGACCAAACTACAAACAAGTAAGGGAGTGGTAATCAAATGAAACAGACACTCAACAATATTCTACACTACTATGGGAACCTCTGTATCGGGCAACAGCCAAAATTCCCGTTGCCAATGGTGACTGTCTCAGTTTAACAAACCTGTTATCTTTTAGGTAATAATAGCACAACCGCGCCTCTGATAAGAAACCGGGCCGCTTGCTTGAAACTTGAGTCTCTTGTCGGTGATTTCCTCTGCAAATCCTCCTAATTAATGTACTTGTCAATTGCAGTCCCAGCCCCCCAGAAGCCGGGTCATAGCGGGGCACTAGCCGGGACTGAGC